AATTTTCAGTTTGGTTTACTAAATTTTAACACTGAATATAAAACTTTACCACTGTTTGAAAAAGGGGGATCTACAAGAATGTCGTCGGAGTATGTGTTCTCTGTTTCTATGTGTGGATAATAATGTTTAAAATACATAGACAAACCAATGCGATATTCTTTTACTTTTTTCACGTACTTTGAACTCAATTTATGCGTTGAAGGAAGGAGAAATTTAACGAGCAAGTTCAAGGCTTCTTTGCATATCATCATCATCATAAGGTCGTCAGTCCTAAGACTGATTGGACACGCACCTCCACTCTTTCCTATCCTGCGCTAATCCTCTTATTTCCCTATAACTAGAACTACCCATATCTTTAACTATTTGTGAACAGTGATCTAATCTAGGTCTACCCCTCCTAACTTCCGCTTCTGCCTCTAATATGTCTCTGACTAGACCTTCATGACTGAGAAGGCGTCCTACCAACCTATCTCGCCTATTTCTTATTGACTTCCATACAGTGCATTGTTCTCCTATTCTTTCTAATACCTCTTCATTTCTAACTTTCTCTACCATACCGACGATATCCTCATCATCCGCCTATAACACCACATTTCGAACGCTTCTAACCTTTTTTTTTCGCCGCTCCCACTGTCCATGTTTCGCTCCCGTACAACGCCGTGCTCCAAACATACACCTTTAACAACCTTTTTCGAATTTCTAAATTAACCGTTCGCGAGCATAGAAGTGACTTCTTTTCATTAAAGGCGACACGACCCTGCGCTATCCTCTGCTTTATATCCCTACTACTCCATCCGTCCTGACTTATCTGATTTCCTAGATACTTAAAATCAGTCACTTCTTCTAATTTTTCGTCTCCTGTCATATTCGCCTTTCTCTACTTTTTCTTCCCTTGCAAACCAGTATTTTTGTTTTACTTTTATTTATTTTCATACAGTACTGATCTGTCAATACCGCTTCCATTTTATTTAAAGCTATCACTAACTCCTCCTTGCTAGATGCTAATGCTGCTATTTAATCTGCAAAGGGGAGGTAGTGTACAAAGATAAAACTTAGACCATATGGGGAGGAATAAATGTTTAAAAACTGACTAAAATACGATTCATACAGAACACATGCACCCCGGGATCCATACATAAGCCGACTTCTATGTTCTTATACTTAAACATTGTTTACTGCAACTTTCATTTGAGATTTGGATTTTTGTAAAAAAAGAAATATTGAATTTTCCACAGTTTTATTCGCGACTTTTGTGACTTAGACTACGTTCAAAAATAACTATTTTATATCTACGTAGGTTATTTTATTTTTATAACTTCCGTTGAAATTAAAAGATTACTAGTACGTATATAGAAAAATTTTTCTTTTCTACCCTTCTTTATTTTTGCTTACCATTTATAATAATGTTAATTCCTAGTCACGAAAAATATTAGTGACGTGTGTTTATTTTCCTAAAATTTCGCTATATCACCAAAAATGACTTTATATCTTTCAGTGGGGGTAACTTTATTTGTCAGTTTGACCCACGCGTCCGTATATTTCGGCTGTTTTGTTGCCAATTTTAATTCATCCCACTCGATTGAATGTTGCCAACGTGACAGGTTAATCAGTGAAAAATTTAGTCAAGTAGCAATTGTCTATTGTTCGACGGCAGGAGGTTTGCCATCCTGAGAAAAGGATAAATTTAGATCGTCAATGACCGCATTTCGTTTATAGAATTTTGTCGCGTTAATTCAGTTAAAGACTAGTTTTATCACTGTTGGGACAGTGTAATGTTCATTTACGTATCATTCTTTGAATATTTGTAAGTAAGTTTGCAAGAACAAAGTATTTTGCATTAGCTTTGCTTCCAATTATGGCGATGCATATATTAACATTAAATGCTTCGATAAACAATTAAAATCAGGCTTGAAACTATTTCTCTCAATAAAACTCATTGATTCGATGCTTTAATAATGAACTTCGTCCTTCGATTTTATTTCGAGAATTTCCATTAAAATTCAAATTGGTTTGATAATTACTTTCTCTGAAGTTTTGCGCTTATGTACCTAGTAAAGCTCCGGAATTAAAACTTAATGGACATTAAATTGTACCCTGTAGTTATCCACATTTGCAAATCCTTTAAGATGAATTTCACAAACAAAAAGTTTACCAACAGTAGGTACATTTTGTTGCATCTATTGTATATGAACTTACCTATGTAAGAACTTTTCCGAATACACTTAAATCCGGACAAAGGAAAGGTTTTCTCCATTTCTCTTTGTTCTAATCTAAAAATGAAATAGCTTTGTAATGGAGTGAACTGTTTGCGTCTCAATTTATCTAGGAACCTGGGCACATACATATGTAAGTACGTGCTTGTACACAATCGAAAACATTTCTCTTTGTCTTCGCAGCCATGTATATAATAAACATCCCTAACGTTTCTTTTTAATATTTTGTAACACAATCTCCTAAAATTTGTTTACTTGATCCTTTTAACTCAAATAAAAATTAAAAATGTTAAAACTGTAGTTACGGAAATCATTTTAAATTAAACTAATTCTCATTAAATGATAACATATTTTACAATGCTTTAGTTAGTACCAATTAACAGTTTGTTCCTCCTCGTTCTAATATTTCCAAGAAATAACAGGGTGTAATATTATTTAACAATTTAGTCGGATTTTGTGGTCTATAAATAGCAGTAATAACCAGAGACGAAAGTATCGACATTTCAGAAAAGGTTGAAAGGTCACATAAAAAAAGCAGTTAAGCACCTGTGTTTGTGCCTCAACCTCCATTATCACTGTTATCATGTTTCTTTAATACGCAGATTTTTAGATCGCCGGAATTTTGTTTATGAATCATCTCTGTCTAATAAAATTTACAAATTTCCTTGCTCAAAAAATAATAAACTGCGAGAAAAAACTTTTATAAAAAATGGAGACAAGAGACCAAACGAATTTTAATCACGGACACTCGCGTTATAAGCGATAAACGATTAAAAACACAAATGCGAGACACCGAAATAACAAAGCTATAATAAAGCTCAGCATATAATTGGATTCGTTAAACCTCAACCTAATTTCATCATTTCTTCACCTTGCGACGGTAATATCGCAATCGTTAATATATTAACAAATATAGATACTTACTTTAACTATTTTTTGAAATTAATTATACATATTATAATACATATCTATACATAACCGTTGAAATCTATATCTATAAGTATAACCTGGATCGTAGCTAAGCACGAACATCAAGAATTAATCCTCTGAGTACTTTTGAATACCTGCTCAATAATTTCGATCTTAAATTATATTCACGTCTAAGGATGCCAACGCCTGGCAAACAAGCTATAACATTTGGTAAAAACTTCCTAATATTTTTATGTTGTATTGATTTTATACGAAATATTTTCGAGTATTTCACTTTTGTATAGCATAAAATAGCAAATAGCGACCAATATTTGTACCCTTATAAAATTCATCATCATCATCATCATCATTTCTCTAAAACTACAACAACCCACATCCTTAACTCTTTGCGAACAGAAATCTTATACAGGTCTACCTGTACTCCTCTTAACTTCTGTTCCTGCCTCTAATATGTCTCTGAGTAGACCTTCATGCCTGAGAACGTGTCCCACCAACCTATCTCGCCTATTTCTTATTGACTTCCATAAAGTCCTCTGTCCTCCTGTTCTTTCTAATACCTTTTCATTTCTCACCTTCTCTATCCGCGGTATCCTCACACCACATTTCGAACGCTTCTAGCCTTTTCTTTTCCGTCGCGCCCACCGTCCATAGTTCGCACCCGTACAGCGCCGCTCTCCAAACATACCCGTTTAACAATCTTTTTCAAATTTCTAAATTAACCGTTCACGAGTATACAAGTGATTTCTTTATATTTGAAGGCGACTCGATCCTGTGCTATCCTCTGCTTTATATCCCTACTACTCCATTTGTCCTGACTTATCTGACTTCCTTGATACCCAAAATCGGTAACTTCTTCTTCCGTCTCCTATCTTTATATTCGCTCTTTCCCTACTTTTTCTTCCCTTGCATGCCAGTATTTTTGTTTTACTTTTATTTATTTTCATACAATAATGTTTTGTCAATAACGCTTCCATTTAATTTAAAGCTATCTCTAACTCCTCCTTGCTAGATACTAATACTGCTGTATCATCTGCAAATATAAGCATACTAATCTTTTACCGCTTTATATCTATCCCTACAGTTGCACTGTCTTTAATGATGTTGATCGCGTATTCGATGTGTACATTAAGAAGTAGCGGCAAATCTTAAATAATACGCATTTGTACTTTTGCATGTAACAATAACAAGGAACTGTACAATAATAAATATTCATTTAACTCTAATTTTCAATAATTAGTTTCTTAGTAAATAGATATTATTTTGAATAAAAAAAAGTATTCGTCTTTTTATATAGCTACTATATTTGACAATAACCTTCTTCTCTGAATAATTTTTAGCAAATTTTTGGTCCCAATTAAAGAACTACCCTCCTCAAAAACATTCAGACCATTATTGTGTTGAAGCCTTTTCATTTTTTACTGGCTAACGCCAACAGTTATAACCTGCTCACCTACTTGATCATTTAATGGTTTATCAAAGAAATAAATTCCTACATACTCTGCTATAATTATCAAGTTCCTATACAAAGAATTGTTAACCTCCTCGTCATGCGCTACGCATATGCGATGGCCACTAAGTGGTACATATTTAAAATTAACCTCTGACGTCACATTCGACGCCCGTACTGTAATCAAATCCGACGTCGACGTCGCAAGTAAACCAAACCTGCAATTGTGGACAACCAATAAGAAGGCCCAAGTTATTTTAATAAATTCAGCCCAAGAGACAACCGTGTATAACAGTCCAAAAATGCTTTTGATTTCGTGATCGTTTTCGTAAATTGGTTTTCGGAAAAAGAAAAAATTCCATACAAAAGTTTCAGAAAATTATTGAAAAGTGCATTTTTTGTTGTCGCAGATAACATGGAGCAGTTCGAACAACTGTTAACATGTGCCATCTGCCTGGACCGATACAGGAACCCGAAATTGCTTCCATGTCAACACAGCTTCTGCATGGAACCATGTCTGGAAGGACTAGTTGACTACGTCAGGAGACAGGTAAAAGCATCTTCAGTAAATCATACTCCTTATCACTAAATTATTTTCAATATTGAAGTTTCCCGTTTTGTTCATTCCCACAAACAGTTTTAACTCGATTATAAGAAATAGTAGGTATAGGTAAAGTTTTGTTTAAAATATGTAACTAACTAAAATAAACAAGGTCTATAATTGCTCTGTAATAAAACTGTTTTATTATAATAAACTAAATCGAAAAAAATTGATGCTGCTGTATGTACCTATTTTACATTTAAATTTATTTGCTTATTTGAAAGGTATTAAAAGTAAAATTTTTATATGAACCAATCTAAACAACAAAAAATATTTCAAAATCGTTAAGCATTCCATCCTAAAAATAGATAGCGTTTCAAAAATGGTTTATTTGTCAACAACTATGCAATCTATTATTGGAACTGTTGCTAGACAAATAGGTATACCTATAGAAACGTACATTTTTGAAAAATGTTTTGCACTATATTTTAACGTTCGTTACTGAAACGTTTTGTCTCATAAATATACCAACTCCAATGGTATTATGACAATAAAAGGTAATGTTTCAGCAGGGCTGCTGTTCCATTCGTTATTTAAGAAAATCATGAAATGAAAATAAGTAAAATTAGTCCAAATTGTTTAGATTAAATTTTGTACTAGATATTTTTATAAAAATGATATTGATAATCTACATACTAACTTCCATATTTTGCATGCTAATACTAGAACTTAATATATAGGTATATACCATTTATTTAAATCTGGTTTGATAAAATGAAAAGCATTCTTAAATACTTGAAGACAATTACAGCGAGGCATGTAAATATAAACTTTTTACTTATTTACCAGATTTACTTTATGAAGTTAAAAACTAAGTACGTAAGTTTTTATGTGAAAAGCGCTAAAATGGCTAAACATTTTACACGAACACGGTAAGTAAAAAATAGCATTAAAATGCTTCAATATTGCTCCAACATAACTTAATTTAACGCTTTTCCACGCAAACAATTTGTAACAAATATTGCACGGTGATTTTTCTATTTCAAGGGAACGACTTTTTTTATAGTTCCCTTCTACTTTTTTCTTCGTCGAGGTAAATATATTGTGGGAATGGATGTTTTTATTTTTTTTAAGATGTTTGCACTTTTCTTAAAAAAAGAAAGAAAAGAATGCTCTTAAACATCATTTTTATGGTTAAATATGGGTAGATATTTTTATACCGATTTTATTGCAATTTTTTGCACAAAAACACTCGCAATTGGAGTACTAAACAAAACAATCGTTTTAGTATGACCACTGAAATTATAAAGTCTATCTAATCGTATCTTTTTCAGGTGAAATGTCCAGAATGCAGGGCAGAGCACAGAATACCGTATCAGGGAATCCAAGGATTTCCTACAAATGTAACACTTCAACGCTTTTTGGAACTTCATATTGAAATAACGGGCGAACTACCTGACCCGACGAGTGGTCAGGTCATGGAAAGATGTAACGTATGTTCAGAAAAAGCATATTGCAGTTATTGCCACCACTGCGAAAAGAAGGTTTGCCCGGATTGCAAAGGAGCTCACATGGACATATTACGAAGGGAAATAACGAGAATAAACAATCAAATTCGACGAAGTATTCACCGCTTACAAGATTCACTTTCATTGGTTGAAAAGAATACACAGAATATCCAAGTTAATTGTCTTTCAGTTTCTGAAGAAGTAGAAGAAATTTACAGGCGCCTATCAAAAGCTCTCAAAGACAGGACGGATTACTTAAGAGGTGAAATAGATAGGTATTTAGGAACTGAACTGCGAGGTCTCACTGGCCTTAAAGATAATTTAGAACAAGAAATATCTAATATACTAAGCAACTGTGATCTAGCTGACAAGCACATAACCGAAAACGCGGATTGGGATGACTGCGAATTAATGGATGCCAAAGAGATATTCCTTAGAACTGTAGAATTTATTAGAAATTTCGAATATGAAAATTCTGACTATAGTAGAAAAGTCAGACTGATATTGGCGCATGATCCTAATCAGCTGGTGCTGCATGTTGCTGGTTTTGGTGATCTCAACATAGCTAATTTACCTTCATTTGGACAAACGTCAAGTGCTCTTCAACCATCAACGCCAGGCTTGATGAGATCCAAAAGCGATCACAGACTCGCAACACAGTTTCGACAACAAGAGGAAAGAAGCGGGTATGATAGAGGTTACGGCGAAGGAGGGCAAGAAGAACTGCCTTTAGGTGGTAGAAAGTTTGGAGATAGGCACATTAAACCTGCTGTTGATAAGTACGATCGTTACAGTCGAAGTGGTGCCGCAGATTATGGAGATGATTACGAAGAAGGCGTGAGACCGAGTAGAAATAGATATCGTTCGAGATTCACTCGCCACGCTGCCGGAGATAATGATTCAGATGCTGAACAGAGCAGCAGAGGAGTCAGATTTTCCGAACATCAACAGAAAGAAAGAGAACGCTCTTTAGATACTGAAGAAGTAACGCGTGGACCACTCAGTGGAATTCAGAGGTTAGCAGATTCTCCAAGAGTAATGAAGAAGTTGCAGGACTTCGAAACCAATAAGAAAAAGGAAAAAGATGCTCCACCACCAACGCAGCCTACCATTCAACCAAAAGTTGCTCCAAAGAAACCTCCAACCACTAGGCAAGTTAGCGAAGAAGACGAAATATCGAAAATAAAAAAACAAAACAAGGGTGCAACCACATCTGCGACAGAAACAACGGAGACACGACCTCCGGCACCAGAACGCGTGGCTGCTTTAAAAAGGGAGGAAACAGAGGATAGACACGGAAATAGGAAAACTCCCGCCTCAGAGGTGAGTGATGAGCCGTAACCTCTACAGTACCTGACTAGATGTAGTAGAATGAATATTTTTTTGTTATTTACCTATTGTTATTGCTTGCCGTATTTTAAATAACCTTCTTACCTGACAAATTAAAAACATATATACGTTTCGATCACACGTTGGCATATTTCCACTCTGACTCTGTAAAATGCACTCTGTTGATACAAACACCGAAATTCAAAACTTATCTTGGAGCCTCCCTCTGCCCTCTTTGTTTGTGTGTGAAGCATGAAGATCGAATGTTCATCTAATACACTGTTTTCTTCAGGCGGTAACGAGCGAAGAAGAATCCGACGTGTCTGTTAGCACTTTGCAGGCGCGTAAGCAAGCGCAGCAGCAAACCAAAACAGCAACTCCTCCAGCAAGAAGACCGTCAGTAGAAACGCCTCCGGTGGTGCACAAAAAAACACGATCGACTAGCTCCGATTCGAGTGCATCTACCGAATCTTCTGGATCTTCAAGCGCTGTGCGTAACACCGGCGCAGCTTACACAACCGAAGAGGTTAAACAAAAAATTCTTTCTAAAGGAACTGCCGAAAATGTCGCCGACAGTCAGAAAACGAAAAGTGTAGCACCAACTGCAACAACCCAGAAACCGTTCCAAAGTAGATTTTTGCCAAACAGACAACCTACTACTCCAGCAGCTATAACTAAAGAGGAAGAGGACGAAAGTGAAACATCATCAGAAGAAGAAACAGAAACTGAAGAGGAAACAGACAACGAATCAACATCTAAACCGCCTGATAAGTCAATGGCCAATACGGATATAGGGGCCCTGTTAGCAAGAAGCGCTCAGGCACGTGACAACACTTCAGAAGCATCAATACGAAGCGTTAACCGAGATTCTCCGACTGGAAGATATCGTTCCAAGCCAGCGGAAGAAGACTACAGCTACAGCAGTAGAGCTCTTAACAAAAGTAAGACCACGTCAGGAGTTCAAAATGATGACGATTCAAAATACGGTTCCACATACTCAACTCCAGATGATGATAAATATTCAAGCAGCAGATCTAGGTATGCAGCTTTAAAAGATAGACGACAACGACTAGCTCGAAGTAGAAGTACACATACTTTTGGAGATGATGATGAAGTAGACGAACCTATTTCACCAACTACAGCTAATCCAACTGCCTACCTGACTTCCAGAGGGTACGGTTCCTCAACATCATCAGGAAATGATATTGCACGGAGCCGTTCGTCGCACGCGCTCAAATCGAGAGAAAGTTCACCAGATAGGAATATCGGTGCCGAAAAAGATGGAGCTGCCATGAGCTCTTGGGCTAGGTATCTGAAAAATAAATACGGAAATAGAAGCGGAACGAAAGATAAAGATAGCGGAGCGAGCGGTGTTGGCTCATCGTCGTCCTCTTCTGCGGCAGCACGACGATTGTCTTTAGGATTACCGCTTAGGTCATCAACAGATTTAGGGAGCTCTGATGACGACCAAAAAAACACGGAAGGCTCCCCCACTACCCCTACAGCAGCTACGGTGGCAGCAGCCGGTAAGTTTTGTTTTTATCCTCTACTTATTCCATTCATTTGATGGTCATTTAAATTTAGGTACCATCGCAGCGGCAGGTACCTCCCCTAGGAGTCAGTACCTACAAAAGTGCCACTTACTGTTCAAGATAGGGGGGCGGGGGAGCGAGCCCGGATTATTTACTTGGCCCCGCGGCGTAGCCGTGGGTCCTGACAATACTATTGTGGTCGCAGATTCATCAAACCACAGAGTTCAAGTCTTCGATGCTAATGGTAACTTCCTGAAAGAATTTGGACAATACGGTAACGCAGAAGGTGAATTTGACTGTTTGGCTGGAGTAGCAGTTAATAGAATAGGCCAATATATCATTGCAGATCGTTACAATCACAGAATTCAGGTAAAATCGTTTTTTGTATTTTCAGATTTCACTACAGAAAGTCAAGAAATTCATATTCTGATTTCATTTACAGGTCTTCGATCCGTCAGGACGATTTTTGAGAGCCTTCGGCAGTCAAGGTACTGCTGATGGGCGTTTTAATTATCCATGGGGCATAACAACTGATGCGTTAGGTTTCATCTACGTTTGTGATAAAGAGAACCACAGAGTACAGGTAAATTTCTAAATGTATGATCTCAAATAAAAAATTTGAGCACTATTGTGTTTTTAGGTTTTTCAATCAGACGGAACCTTCGTGGGCAAATTCGGAACCATGGGTAATAAACCTGGACAATTAGAACATCCTCATTACATTGCTGTTTCTAACACGAATCGAGTTGTTGTATCCGATTCGAATAATCACAGAATACAAATATTTGACGTAAACGGCAGGGTACTTTCTTCATTTGGAAGCGAAGGTGCTAATGACGGACAATTTAAATTCCCTAGGTGCGTCATTTCTTATAATATTCACAACTTTAAATTCTAATTCGCATTTCGTTATAGGGGAGTTGCTGTTGACGATCAAGGCTATATAATAGTTGCTGATTCAGGAAATAACAGAATTCAAGTGTTCAATCCTGACGGAAGTTTCTTAAGGGCGTTTGGATGTTGGGGTGCGCGAGATGGAGAGTTTAAAGGACTGGAAGGAGTTGCTGTTACATCGAGTGGAAATATACTTGTTTGTGATCGTGAAAACCACAGAATTCAAGTTTTCTGATTTGTTATACATATTAACACATTTGTTATAACACATTTGCATTTTCGATAAGCAGTGTGTAGATATTGAGTTTTGGAATAAATTTACTTACTACTTTCAGGACTACTTTTTGAACTTAATATCCATTAAAAACCACAACAAAATTTATCAAGTTCTTAGCACTGAATAAGATAAGAATATAATTAAAAAGTAAATAATAAAGTAATAAGTATCATCTCAATCAAATTAACATGAGAAAATCTAAGTTTGAATGGACTGATCAATTCAAGCGATTAGTATAATTAGCCTAGTTTTTTAATAACAAGTTAAGATAAATTATTCTATTCAGTTTCTACCATTATTACATTCAAAAAACATACCACAACTTGAAGAAATGTTGATTTGGTTCAGTGTAAATAAATAATAAATTTATTAGTGTTTTGATTGTATGTAAATCACATAACACTGAAGTATCTAATGAATACAACCAGTGTGACTGAATACGTCATAATTAATCTGTAGGTTTTTTAAACTGCAAAGAATATTTTTTTTTGAAATGCCTTTTTTCTTATTTTGATTAAAATATATGACGTTTTAAAGAATCGCTTTATTATATTTAAAACAAAAACATGAGACGCAGTTACATACTGTTTTATTACAGCTCAAGTCTGACAAAAATGTAACAAAACTAACTTTATAATTTCCAAAATGGAATAACGGATGTATTTCTACAATTTTTTTTAAATGATCTAACATAATTTGTTACGTTAGTAGCTAGAATCTTATGTTACAGAACCAGAGTAAAATTCACAACCATTTTTAGTGATAAGTAAGATTATTTGTTCATTCAAAATTCTGCTTATTCAAAGCAGTTTTATTTTATAAAATATAACATTTCACAACCACCTTCTTATAAAAAAAAGATAGTGTATAAATTTCAGCTTCAGTACTTTACATTTTACTTTGTATACATATCCATTTCATAAAATGGTAAACAGTACAGTTTATTGATTGATAAAATTTAAACATTTAGTCTATTTATATAGCTACTA